ACATAGGTTTGGGGTCTGTTTAACACTTGTGAGGCTACACTTCTGCGCAGGATTACTAGAACCACATAAATGGCATTTGCTTGCATGTCCTTGTGTGATACTGACACACCCTGCCTGACTGTGTTGCAGGGAATCCTTAGTGCTCATTGCACCAGCGAGGCCTTTATCACACACCAACAGCAAACGTCTGGGGGATGTATCAAAGGGCCTTTGCAGATGTCTCTGGAAGCATTAGTGTCCATATTGCACTTCAAAGAATACAAAGACTATCTGGGAACACTTCTCTGAATTGGGACCCATTTTTCTGCTTTTCTGGTTTCTGCCATCTTACATTTAAATATGGCATCTGGTTTTCTTCTTACTGAGAAACATATACTGAGTATAGCAACCAGGAAAGGGTGGGGAGGTGTTTTCCTTTGGGTTACTGAAAAACGTTGCCTGAGGAATGGAAACACTGCTTTGATTGTGATGCAACCTCTATTTTTATTACTTTTCTCTGTAAAATACAATAAAAACATTGTGGGGGAAATATATAGTCAATTATCGGCAGTGGAAAGGATATACCATCCATTGGCAGGGCTTCTGGGGGATGGAGCAACGAGTCACAATCTTGTCTTGTTGTTCAGTCTATGCCTCAAAAACTGCAGAATCACAAATTTAAAAACAAAATACGAGAATGTGAAATGCAAAAAAGCCAGTTATCCATCTGAAAAACATCACAAATGGACAGAAAAATGGCCAAGACCATTATGGCCACAGCTGCTGTGTGGGTAAAGCACTCCAAAACAGAAAGGGGGATATCTTAGGGTCTGGAAATGTGGTATCCATAAAGCTCAAGTCAGTGACAACATTACCACTGGCCACAGTGGGTCCAGGTCTCCTTCAATGTTCTCTAAATTAATTCTTGGCTTTCTATTATAGCATCTAAATAAAATCAGTGCTGTACAAATGAACATAAGGGCGTGGATTAGTCAAAGCGGCAGCAGCAGTGACAAATGCCAAGTCTGTGCTGAGTTATGCTTAACATTCACTGCCATGGCCCAGGTTTCAGGTAGAGCAAGGATTCTCACATCACACTTTGTCCTTCCTGGCTAGCCTTTGATGTCAGGTCTCAGTTTAGACTACAGCCTCCTGTGAGAGGTGCACTGAGATATGCTTGGATAGAACATTGTGGGTGCCACCACAGCACCTGTGACATTCCAAAAGTGTGTGGTGGCAATGCAGGCTCCATTTGTGTGATCTCCATGTCTCCTGCCACTCCCTGCTGCAAAACTGGAGCCCAGGTGCCTGTCTTGAAATCTGCATGCCGCCTCCAACATTTAAAAAGGCCTCAAAGAAAGAAATTGGAAATTTATCCATCTCATGGAAACTTCATGTTCATTCTGCAGTAGTGGAAGATGTGAGATATTAACTATTTATAAACCTCTGAAAGTGACACATAAATGAAATTCAGCTGAGTGTTTCTATATGCCCACAGTATTTGAGCAGATTTACTGATGCTTCTTAAAAACATTTACTTGATGGACTTCAAGTTCTAAAATTAAGGCAGAAGATTCAGATTGTTATTTTGCTGTAATTGCTCTATTTGGGCACTAGCTGACTGAGATGGTTTTATGGCCAATTCAACACTGCTTTTCAAGAGTGAGTAGTGAATACACAGGATTTCAAGAATAAGTGGTGACTGCAAAGGACTTCTTTTTTTGAGCAACAAACACCTTTTCAGAGTTTGAACACAACAGCAGTGATGAAAAGCATTTAAAGCAACTTGAATTCTCTAGAGATGTTATTTTCTAACGATGCAAGTCATCACCTCTCAAAAGTGTGTGTCACCTTGGCAAGTCAGTGTTTTGAATCAACCATGTAACTGAGAAATATGATGGAATATAAGGCTGAAAATTAATTTTCCTGTAGTTTTGCACATATTAAATTGACATATCTACAACTTTGTGTTAGATACAAGGCAAAATATTGAATCTTGAGGATGACATTAATGAAGAGCTCTACTGACAAATTAAGTTTTTGTCATCTAAAGTCATCTAAAGTGCAGAGTCAGCCCCAAAAAAGCACTAACTCATTATGATGAATTGCAATTTTTTAAACATACTTCTATACTGATTAATTATATATATATTATCTTTACAAGAAAAATATACCCATATAACTTGTGAGTTACTTCTGAGGATGATTTATATGTTTTTCTATTGAACTGCTTAAGGTACAGGCTTACTAGCATTAATGACAACAATGCCCATGGCTTTCAAGTTGCTCCAGTTGTCTCTCTGCTGAAGCAGAAATGAGCCCTCTTAGAGTCTGATGGTGCTATAGAAAAAAATAAAACAAAATCATAATAAAAAAAGAACTGTTCACTTATTAAAAACAGAAGCTTTCGTTCTCTCTGGAGGCCTGATATTTATGATCAAGCATTTCATGCCTACTTCTCTTGTCCTAATTCCGGTCATTTGCAACAATGCTGGTGTTAAGTGACTATGAAACCCTAGTCTCTGAAGTAATCAGATTTTCAGGCCCTGTGCCCTACGTCACATGGAATCGTTTATTGCAGTACAATAGGAAATAAGGCCACTATGCCTAACAGTATTTCTGGAGGGAGAAATGCTGCTCATTGCTGAGTAACAGTATACCCAGATGATTCTTGGTTGTAAATTCTGCCTTCAAAATCAATGGCTTTTTGCATTTAGAACTAGCAGAACCGAAGGGCAATTATCAAAGAAATACAGAGAGAGAAAAAGCGCAGAGTACCAAGCTCCTGTTCAAGAGACTGATCACGTGGAATTGATAACTTCTCAGATCCAGCTGATACTGGGCAGCTGAACTGGTCTTGGCAGCTGGGATGACATGGGCTGCGAGAAGCACCAAAGTTCCATCCCTGGCTAAAGACCCTGGCAAGCAGCTCAGTCCCTTTTCCCCACATAAAAACCTCACAGCTCTGCTTTCAGCCTGCTATCTCTTTATACACAGCATTTGTTGGGATGATTCTTTTGCATAGAAATAACAAGAGAGGTTCAACTGCAGGTGGTTAAAGAATTGTGGACTTATTGGAGCTTGTTGCATTAAGTCTCTGAAATTCAGAGCTTACCTTCAAGTCATTGCCTTTGGTCTTGCTGAAGCTGTAGTGAAAAAAATAGGCCCAAGCCTCTCAGTTTTCCAAATGTAGTAAAAAGTGTTTGAATACACACTTTAATATATTTCTGTGGCATTTTTGTACAATACAGATATATAATTATAGATATAATGCATATATAGCATTTACCGTATTGATAAAAAGCTAGTCTTTTCACAATGACAAACCAGTATTTACAATATTATTCAAATTTTAAGGAACAAACAAAACAATATTGTGTGGTTATATGATAAGAATAATTTGAGGAAAAATAAGAGACCAGTTCTAAAAAGTTCCCAGACAATAAAGTACATAGTCTTGACAGAAGCACCACCATGAACATCCATGCACAACCCTTTTTTTCCTCTCTCCTTATAGGAACATGCATGATTTAGCTCTTCCACATTTCTACCTAGTCACAGTTCTTAAGTTGATATGGCTACTTATGTTTTTTCAAGTATGGATTAATTGTACCATCTTTCCACTTAAGTATTTTTCCAACTGCAAAATTTCAAAGTTTTGCCAAGAGCAGGAATAATTATGCGCAAGTTACTTCTCAATTTAAACCAACAGAGCTATGAAAATTTGCATAGCTGAAAATTTTCCTATCTTCTACACACCTTAGAACCATTTCACAAATCAACAGCATGAGTTTGAACAGCATTTTTAGCATTGCAGGTCTCTTCTAGGAAGTTTGCCTGAAAGGACACCGCACTGCCAAGACCAGAGCTGAAGTACACGAATTTACTTTGTTATCCTCATATATGAACATTACCCAGCCATTCATCTGTAACATACTGTCCACAGCACAGCAAATGTAAAGATGATCTTCATCTTCAATGTATTGTCACCCCTTCCTCAGAGGAAGAGAAGTGCTATTATCACATTTTTCAGAAGAAAAAAATCTGATAGCGACTGAGTGAACTTAGGTTTACTCAGAAAGGTCACTTAGAAAGTTTAAGACAGCAAAGAAGCAAGCCCACATCACTTCAATTGCATCATCTTCTCTTTCTAACTTTGAAAGAGAACTTTATATGTATCTTTAACAGAAACAAATACATAACCAATAGAAATAAAGCATTCTTCAGGCACAAGGCTTAAAGATTGCTGTTCTATTCCCAGATAACAGGAGGTAGCAAGAGGGCTGTTTCTGCATGTATTATCTCCATCCTACTGAAAAAATATTAGTGGCAATGAGTCTTTTTTGAAGTGAGAGTGGTTAAGCCCACTATTTGCCTGAAAAGATATAAGAATACTTGAGACACATGAAAACAGTCCTTCACCAAAAAAAAAAAATGCAACAAACATAAACCTGGAAAACCTTTATCTCCTTCAATGCTGACTGGGGAAGCGTTTTCAAGCACATCTGTACCCACCTTAGAATGCCTTTACATCACCTGCACAATATAAATGAGGATTAACAAACTGTTGAAGATGACCTGTTCTCTCAAGCACTAAAATTTGTTTCACAGCTGAAGCTCAGCTCTGACAGACAGGCAGCTGAAGGACTGATACACACCTGGGATGTGCAGGTGCAGATGAGGGCAGAAATTTCACCATGGTAAGTGTCTCCCTGTTGTCCTTGTCACTCTGGAGAAGTCTGGTCAGGAGCAGATGGTGATCTGCATTCTTACAAGCGCCATTTAGAAACTAGAGGCAGGAATGAAGGAAACCTCTTCTATTCCAGGACAAAACCAAAGCAACAGGAAGGTAGCTATGACAGCATTCTGCTTCCAGAAACACTTTTGGGCAAACTGGTCATCTGCCTAATTGATACAGGTGATGTATTTGTGAAATACTGAGGATGCAGGACCTTTTGCCCTTATTAAACAAACAAAAAAACAAAAAAAAAAAAAAAAAAATCCAAGCAAACACAAAAGAAAAAAACCAAACCCAAAACATGTCACACACACAAAAACAGGTAAAACCAATAACGGAATTTCTCATCCTGCTCAATTTTTCATTTTTTTTTTCCTAAATCAAACTGAATTTTCCTTTAAAAAAAAGTAAAAATACAAAAACAAAGATACATTAGAATATCCTACTGTCCAGTAAATGTCTTATAGGCAATATTTATGGAGGAAAAAATGCATCAAGCCCTACCTTTGACAAAAATTAAGCACCCTAATGTTCATTTCATACAAAGGAATGCTGCTTCTAGTGCTGTTGATTTGAATTATTCCTATCACCACAATTTGAATATGCATTACTTGTCTTCAAATATATAATCATAAATCTAGACTAATGCTGCAAAAAACAAATTCTAGTGAGAATGCTGTGCCATTGATAAGCTAAAACCAGCACATCATGAGAATGCAAACTAATCTTTCCGTTTACTTTGTAAATAATCCATTAGCTAAACTTCTATTTTAGGCTGGATGCTTGATGCTTAACACTAAGAAGTCCAAATACCCTTTGTATCCCTTATAACAGAAGAAACTTGTAAAATGTCTTTGGTGCATCAGCTTATTGTATAAAATGTTTTAAAGAAACTCACTAGTACTATAGGAAATATAAGTGGGCTTTTTTGTGTTGTTTAATACTCCAAGTGTCACTTCATTCTTTAAAGGGGTTAGAACAGAGGAGGGGGAAAGGGGAGGAAGTCTTACTTAATTTGTTGCATATGTCCCAACGTGTTATACAACTAAGTGTATTATACCAGAAAACTAAAGCAGTCTGCACCACAGCAAACTCTGTAACTCAAAATAGGAGAATAATCTGGCCACAAGCAAGTCAAAATTTCAGTGAAACTTCCTCTCATATTATATATACACACACTTTACAAGCTACATCGAGTGTCCTTTCATATTCCAAAAGAAATACATTGTAGACACCAAACATACTGTACTTTTACTTAAAGGCTTCATCAAACCATATGTGCAGACACTTGAGAAGATGAGAGTGTCAAGCTTCCTAGGGTCCTAGAGTCAAAGAAATTCTGCTGCCCCCCACTGCTAAGTAAGTGCACTCCTTCCACGGGGGGCAACATCTGCCGATCCGTCATGGTTCCACTTGGCGAGGACCCCAAGAAACTTCCTTGGGAAGAAACGATTTTCTCAGGACTGGCAGCCAGTTTAGGGGATGTGGAAAAGTTATATCCATAGAGCGCACAGGGACTGTGCAGCCTAAACGTATTGTAGGAGCCTTGGTGGGTCTGATTAGTGGTAAAGGCATTGCTGGATGGGGAAGGCATGATGTACTGGAGCTGTGGAGACATCCCTGAAATCTGCATGGATAAGCCAGTCTGCGGGCAGCTGAATGCATCCCCATCGTTGCCGCTCATGGACATATTCACAGTTGTGCTGCTCGACACACCGACATAGGAGGGAGTCCTTGGGGGAGCGAAGGTCTCGCCGCTCTGGTTGGTGAGCCGGTTGTAGGTTTCCGCCAAGGAAGTGCTGTATCTGTTCAGGGCCAGGCCTGAGCGGGCACAGGCTGTGTAGTCAGCTGGAGCAAGGGTGCACAGCTGGCTGGTGTTGGGGCTGAGGTGGAAGGCTGGAGATGAGCAAGGGGAGCCTGGTAAAAGGTGAGGGTGGGTAGATGGAACTCCGCTGCCAGATCCCTGGAGTAAAGTAGAGGAACCTGCATTTCCTGGAAGAGAATATTACAGTGTAAGAGGCACATTGGGAAAGGTTCACTTCCTAGGTGAAAGATCAAGACCTTTGTCTTTTATAATTACCCTTGAGATGAAATTCAACCCAAATTAATTAAAAACTTTTACATACGTGTGCAGGAAAATGTGTGAGTAAACCACATGCATGTTTCTAAAGAAACAACTTGACCAAGAAAAACAATTGAAGTTATGTTTTTACAACCATCACTCAGTACTTAGAGCTCCTGCCTAAAAGGTTAGCTGCTTCTTATATGACATGGAAGGAAATTTCATGGCAGTTAAGATGTAGCCAGGTGAGCACCACATCACAGGAATCCTTCTTTAAAATTATGATTTTTGGCTTATCTATGCTTTTGCTACAGTCCAGAACGTGTTTCAAGTGCTCTGTGCCTGACTTCACTGTCAGAGCACCAGATGAGGAACCAGCTCCTTAGCTCAGAGGCTCTCACAGATAACAGCTTCAGGAAAGTTCCCAACTTCATAACAAAAAAACTTCTGACTTCAAAAAATTCTGAAAACGACCAAAAAAATTCAGAAAAAGTTCAGGAAAAGTGTGCACTGAACACTGCACTGCAGTTACTTCATTTCTTGAACGGGTTGGTTTGCAGAAAACTCTTTGTAAATTGTTTATTTACTGATATCAGAACTTCTTATATTATGAATACCAATGCTGAATGCTCCTGAAAGCACACTGCTTGCTACAAGTGAAGCCTTTTTTCAATACTGAAAGTTTCCCAGCTGCAAGGAAGACTTCTTTTTCTTAAAAGATTGCATCTTCCTGAAAACTGAGTGTGGAAAAATTAACTGGGGCCTTTTACAATCTCCCAGGCAGAAGACACTAAACAAGGAAGACCTCCTGTTTATGAATCACATTAACAATCAAACAGCTTGATGCTTCAAAAAGAGAAGTTTTGTCAATAAATTAACAGATTATCATAATAGGTGAGCTAGTAAAAAAAAAATACATTATTAAAGAACACTGCCTGCTGCTGCTTCTCTGTTAACAGAGAAGCGCAAGCACAAGGCATCATTAGACACTGCCACATTACAGAAATCCTGGTAAAAGACACATTTTTCTTTTAATCTCCATCAATGCCTCCACTACCTGAAGATGGTCACTTTCAGCGTTAACAACCAGGACAAATTTCTAAGGGGGTCTTTCACAAAGTCTCTATGTCCAAGGTATAGATGACTAAAGATTTTGCAAGGATCCCAGTTTCCATCCTCAAAATATCAAGAGTAATTTCAACAATCTTCTTAACCTCAGGCAACAGCAGAAAAAGAAGTGAGAAGCTCACGGCAGCAGTTGCCCTGCTCCCAAACAATGCTCCTGCACGCAAACAGCCAATAAAGCTGTCTGTCTCCTAAATGGATTAACTTCATTGTCAGTTGCCTTTCAGTCTTACACAGTCTGACAAGGTATTTCAGGTCTCATTCTTTCTTCTCATTAAAGGCCTTTTTGATGAGACCGCCCTTCACCCCCATGCTATGCCCAAAACTCTGCCAACACTCATCCAATGTATCTATGACTTGGCACAAAACCTCCTTTTAGTTGCCAACGTCAAGGGCTGATACTCAAGATTTCTCAAAGGACTGAACCAAAAAGCTGACAAAAGTGATTTCTCTTAATTTCTCTGTGTTCTGGATTTTTGCTCTGAAGATGTTTAACAACTTGCAATCAGTACATTATCAAGAAACCAGACTGGATGTTTGTAAATTTGGTAGCAGAAAATGCAAAGAATTTGGAGCAATATGTCTGATTAAGCTGGGAAAAGGCTGAGAGGTTTTCTATGTGCATTGGTGTATACTCAAGAAATAAAAGAACTCAGAAAAGAGTACAGAGATTCCACTCTCTGTCCAAATGCGCCAATTTCAGTATTTTTCTCATTCATTACACAACCTGCACAATGGGGAAAGTGGAAACAAAGAGGTTTCCAACAAAGAGTGAAGAGCAGGGAAAAGCAAAACTGAGAAGAGATCCATTTCTTTAAGCTCTAGCATGCAGACAAAGTTTGTTGGCCCATTTACTGAATAATTTTCAGGTCTTTAAGAATCAAGAAGGCATTCTAAGAAGAAAACAAATTAAGCTTCTTCCTATTTACTCATTACTTAAGAGAACATTTCTTCTCTCATTTCTTTTTTTTTTTTTTCTTAAAACACAAGTAATTCCTACACTGCAATTTGGATGTGTACAACAGAAGTCATAGTAAGTGATCTCTACGGTTTCTATCCAGCCAGAGCATAACAGTAAGGAATAGGTTACTCAGTCCTTAAATAACTGGCATTCTCCTCCACATGTATTCTGATTTTTTGTTACAATCTAACATTTTTATTGCCACAGTAGTTGAGTTAGCATTAGTTTTCTAACTTAGAATAACTCTGATGAGGGGGGATGGCTGCACTGTGGTTAGTTGGTTGTTTTTGCCTTGTGAGTGACACACTTACCTAGACTTTCGTAAGAAATGATGGGCAAAGCTTCATCTTTCATTTTTGTTTTGAAAGAACACAAAGACACTTGTTACCTTGTTTGGGTATCCCAGGTATGTCTTCAAATGTAAGCGTCCTCAGCGAAGGTCTCCAGAAGGCATAAGACTCTACCAGAGCTTCCAGTCCCATTCTATTTAGAACAAAAGAATCACAGTGTCATGAAAGCAAGCTGTATTTTGCCACATGTCTCTGGTTACTCTATGTCAGAACCATATAAAAATTGGTAACATTTCAGAATTATTTTCAAGTTGATTTTGCTTTTCAGAAAAGAGCCTTACAGCCTACCCATGAGACCACAGGGACCTGCAACCACTGGGCTGACAGGACACAAAATGTTTTCCAATTCCACAAGCCTAGCTCTCTATTTCAATATTTTGGGCCTTTTGGGAGGGCTGTTTGAGTGGGAAGATTTGGCTAAAATTATTTTAAATGTTTTGCTAGTATGATATTTCTTCAAGAGATCATCCCTCTGGCAGTTAAAGTTTTAACTGCCAGAGGGATGATCTGCTATTTCTTCCTAGAATAAAGGTGATCCACGAACAATTTCTGTTAAAACAGGATTCCTAGTCATTACTGATGAGCTGGAAAATCAAACTTAGAACATGAGCAAGGCATGGATGTACAGCTATTTTGCTACTAAAATCATGTATAAAACAACATTTTTGCTAAGCAAAATGCCTTTAGAAACCAAAAGTCTTCACTCATTTTCTTGCAACAGTGTCCTGAGAAAAGAGAAGTAACTGTGTAGACAACGGTGGCAGACACTATTTAGAAGAATCTGTTTCTTGAAGATAAAGGCCCATTTGTTTTCTGACAATTATTTATGAATAATACACCTCAGAGGTATATAAACTTAGAGGTATAATTTTGGTGTTATTTTTGGCTGCTGGGCCCCAGAAGCCTGTTGAGTGTCAGCATCAGGCACACTCCAAATACAAGTGCTTGCTTTTGAGCAGCAGTACTTTGTAAACTTGAATTATGCAAATAGCCCAGTCTGAAGCAACCAACGTGTTCTGATACTACTCCTTCCAGCAGGAACACAAATGTCTGTCAGGAAACATTTATAAAGCGTTTATTAGCTGAACCTGGACTAAAAAGATTGCCTTAATTTTCTGCAGTAATGGTGAATTTTCATTTCTAGTTAAAGTGGAGATAAAAGCCACCTCCTGGAGGAGTGTAGCCAAGGCGATAATTTATACAAGATGCCTTTGAACAACTTCCACATTTTATCACCACCCTAATTTGCGCTATCAAATGCCCAGGTTTATTTAACAAAACAGTTATGTTTTTCCCAAAGTATTTAAAGGGAGAAATTCTGGTCCTTTCCTGAGTAAAAGTTTTTATAGGATCAAACTTAAGGCCCAAACTATTCTCAAAACCTAAATTCTGTTGCAGTTTGCAAATGCACAGGGAATGTTTTTAAAAGGTGAAGCTACTGATTTCTGTAAAATGGCCTGTGGGACTGAACAAGAAGGGCATATTTTTAATTAAACTGAATCACTGCATGCAGCTGTAAAGAGTGAGATAACTGCATAAAAACAATATTGAAAAGTTTGGCATAATTTAACCACAGTATTTTTTTAAACTTGTTGCAGACTAAAATGCCTCAATGATAAACACATCAGCTGGAACAATGAGGATAACAGAACCTTAACATTTAATTTCAGTATTTAGTAACAGAGCAAAATAATAATCCACTGAGTATACCAATAAGAATTTTCCCTGACAATTAAAATTCTGAGTTGAATTGCCAAACATACTTATCCAGTAATGCAGACTACAAAAGAAAACAGTGATACTGACTTCAGTAAAACAATGTGAATTTGCAACAAACAAGAATTTGCAGAAACAATTCTTGAACAAATGTGTTTGTAGAGTAAAAGCACTCAGACCTCATCTAAAGGCTGCTCCAAAACATTTTAGAGATGCTGGCTCTTCCTTCAGGACTTGCCTTCCTAATCCGTTTCCATAAAAATAACTTTCAATCAAAATATTCTGCTTTTTTTTCTAATGCCTGAACCAGACCATTCCTAGCAGCCAAACAAAAAAACCCCAGTCCCATAACTGTATTTGTGTGGTTGCAGATGCAGTACTCTTACATAATCCTCAGGTAATTCCAGAACTGTCCCACATTAAAACTGGTTCAAAATTAGTTTCTGAACAATTATTTCCTTGCTGTCTAAAAGGGTATCTTCTCTGGTTTCTTATAACATTATGGAAGAAATTCTATGTCTACCTAAATTTGCACATTTCAGAGGATCAGGGTTCCATACTTCTTAGGAGGTTCCATGTACTCATTTTATAGCTCTGCAAACAGCAAGCACAGCAGAGACACTGCCTAGGAGAGACAGAGAGTTTTCAACCAGGGCAAGTATGGCAACCCTTTTCTTCCTAAAGTACACACAGCATGTTTTGCTTCTTCAGTCACTGCATTTACCTGGAAGCTACCTTTCACTTAATTTCTAACCAGAAGCCTACAAAAGAGGGCAAAGCTCTATTTATGTCAGTGGCCACAGAACATGGATACTTATTTCTTGCTAGAAGACAAAATCTCAGACATACCGAAAAGATACTTACAGTGAATGTCTGTAAATCTTTGCAACTACATCATCCCTTCTATAAGCAGTCATTTTCCAAAAACTACTGTCATTTACTGCCCAGTTTCAGGTTTTATGTAACTCAGGTTTTATGTAAAACAGGCTTTAATGCTGTAGCTTCTTCTAACAGAGAAGCTCAATAAAACAACTATCAAAAAGAAACTCTCTGATCATTCCTACCAGCACAGTCTGCTCCCTTCTCTGCAAGGCTTGGTCATAAATATAGCAGCTGCAGACACCAAACACAATGTGGTAGCTGGAACTGATGTATACTATACACCACAATGAAATACTGCTTTCTTTTTTTCTTCTTTTTTTTTTCTTTTTTTTTTTTTTTTTTTTTTTTTTTTAGCTGAAATGGTTTAACATACAATTCAAAACAGGCTTAAGTAGCTAGCATTAAACAGTCGTTGGATAAAATGCCTCATTGGCACTGCTAGGTCAGACCAGACCTAAGTCTCCACTTTGCACTATGCAGATTTCCCACTGCTATTTTGAAAGATTCATGGATCAAGAGAAAATAAGCAATTAATCAGTCCATCCACCACAGAAGAGGTGGAAACCAGTCTCATTTCAAGGTCCTGTATAGCCTCCTAGAAAAGGTATTCACCTAGGAAGCAGATTTAAAACTCCTTAGACTAAACAGACACTTGAACACAGGTCTCCCACCTCCTAGGCAAGTGTACTAAACATAAGGTTTCTGCACAAACCAGTTTCTCCTCCTTAATGAGGAAATAAGCCATTGACCCATGCTATGTGCCACCTATAAGCAAGAGCAGTTTGACAATGGTATCTGCAACTTGTCTCCAGCCAGGAGAAAGAGGAGATTTCAAGCACAGCCAGAAATCATGGACCTGAGTATACACTAAGTCCACTTGCAGACTTCATGGTGTGTCACTGCTTCCACTGAAAGGAAACTTGAGTACGAGTCAAGCCAAGTGCCAGTCTGTTCTTGACCTCGATGGTCTGAGGTGTAGCAATGGCAACTCACCACAGAGAACATCGCTGGGAAGTCTGAGTGGTCCCTCAAGGAGTCTGAGCCCTCAAATTAGTTTGTCTGTAAGTCCAAGTGTTGACTTTGAACAATCTTCACAAATTGATTCTGTCAGCAGGAAGAAGCCCAGCTCCTTCCCAACACCCACCTGTTACGGCCAGAATCTCTAAAGCCTTTGGCGAACGGATTCCTATCAATCTTCAGACGAGTTATCTGTGAATATTATTAAGAAAAATTATTACCCGTAAACTCAGATAGGTGGCACAGAAAACAACTCTACTGACAGAAAAAAAGCTGACATCTTCATATTTGTATGGTTTAAGATGGCTGTCCTAAAACATAGCAAAATTAGGACCAGTCTTCTGATCATTATTTTTGCACATCCCTGGAGAGGCTAATAGGTGTTTAAAGCTGCAGTAGGAATTACTGAGAAAAAACTTCAGGCAAATGTCATTCTTCATTTAAAAGAGTTCACTGTCTAACTCCAATAAAATTTAAATTAAATTTTATTTCTGTACTGGTCAAGAAGAAAATGTGAAAAGAGAAATTATCTCTAGGTTATTATCCTCTATTAAAATAAAAAAAAAAACCAAACTAACCAACCAACCAATAACCCAGCAAAACACACCACACCCCAAATAGCCATAATTTATTTTAATAAAGGGGGAAATCACCAAATAGCTATATTTTAGTATTTACATGGTTCTCCTGCTCCTCTCTTTGTAAAGTTATCAATGCATATGTTATTTCAAAAAGCGCAGCTGCAATAATTTATATGGAATTAATAAAATGTCACAACACTAACTATGGTGTCATTACCTATGCTAAAACTTAAATGAGAGGTAGAAAGAGCCACGTGATAAAACCTGCAGCTCACTTCTGACTTTGAATCCGTGTCAACCCAGATAAATTTTCCTTAATAATATAGGCTGAATGCAGTTAATAAAAACAACTGCAACTTTCTTCAGAACTCAGCTTCTCTGTTAAGATCCTGGGAGTGTTAAAAGTACTGGAGTCAGGAGCAAAAGTGCTTTAAAAAGTCTCTCCTGACACGTATCTACATTTAAAGGTACAGAAACACCTTTAAAAATTAGACTGCTCTTTGTCTTGTTCATCAATGCTGTGTTTATAATCAAGACACCATTAAGCATGCTAATTGGACTGTGTGATCTCCATAATAAGAAAGATTTTTTACAAGCAGCATCTCTGAAGGCTCAGCAATAGCCTCCAGGCACTACAGCAATACTAAGCTACTTGTAGCAAAAAAAGGGTTTAGGTAATTCTATTTTCATAAATGAGATAATGAAAATATCTGCTTTTCTCCTATCTCTTACATCTCTGGTCTGCTCTGAAAAGCCTGTAAAGTGCTAACCAGAAAGCCCAAATTACCTGTTGATTTTGGTATGCTGTGACAGTAGTGAAGACTGTCTCAGGGAAGGAGAAGGCTTTTACCCCTTCTCCCGAAGGGATGGGCTTGACAGGGGACAGATCATCACCACAGTCTTTTCGGATGACGTGGACACGAGGCTGATATTTATGCATAGAGTGGAGGATAATCTACACAGTCATGCAAGGAAAAAGATAACATTTGTTAGAAAGGACACCCTGCTGTTACAGGACTAATAGCTTTTTGGAACAGATTATGGTATGTGTTTACCATGCCACTTACTGGAAATCAAATGTTTTCTTTAACCTCTGAAGGTTCTTGTTACAGTAGTCTAATCCCTGTGCATTTATGTTATTGCCAACCCTAAGCATTTAAAAATTACGACTCAGGAGCTTCAAATTCAGAGACTCTTTTTTTTTTTTCCGGCTCAAAAAAAAGGACAAAAAGGAAAAAAAAAAAAAGAAAAAAAAAAAAAAAAAAAAAAAAAAACAAAAAGAGAAATTAGGAGTGAAGTCCAGGTCCCACTGGAATTATGGAAGTTTTGTCACTTTTTTCCACTGAAGTCTGGATTTGACCTAATATGATTAACAGCAGCAGAAATTTGCCTTTTGTTTTTGGAACCTTCAGAATGGACTATTGGAGCAATTTTTTTCCTTATATCCCAAAGGCTGGAAATAAATCTTGGTTGGAACATAAGCTGAGACTATCACACTCTGAAGAAGCATAAAATTAAGAGTAAAATTATAACAAATCCAAAATCTAAAGTGTTAATAGCAATCAATCCATAAAACAGACAATGATTTTCAATTTAAACAAACCTCCCAGCATACAAAAACTCAATCAAAAATAAATCATAAAAGAGGAGTGGATGAACTCATACTGCATAAATTAAACACACAAATACTTCTTGGTACTGTACCCCAATTTTAAAGGAAATTTAAAATACAGAATTTTTCCTCTATTTTACTCCACTTCAGCTAACCACTATTAAAATAAAAAAATTCAAGAAAAAAAAAATTGAAGTTCAGCTATTATTGTTGGAAGACCTAAGAAATTAGTAACTTGATAAATAAATAGTCCTATGGCTATTGGCCTGTGGAACCACTAATCAACATTCTGGGGAAGCTTTTTAATTTCCTGCTCCTTGAGTAGGCTCAGAATGTGCACGTGCTCAAGCACTCAACAGAGCCTCTAAGTCAGACACCATGGAAGTTCATTCACCCAAATTATATAGAGGACATTACATTTGTTTGGATAAACTAGAGTTTGGCTAGTTTAATACACTTGGTCCTGGCCACATTACATGACCCTGTTTTGGTAGGCCAGTTTCTGGATAATCAGGGGTTTTATTAGCCTTTAAATAAGGTTTTGACAATGACATCACAGGCTCAAATTAATTTGGTCAGGGAGTGCCCTATGGATGTTCTCATATGAAGTCTTTTTCGAGTTTCTGAACAGAGCAAGATTCTTTATCGTGCAAAAGTGCTTTCTCTTTTACAACACTCCTTTCAGTTCTCCAGTGGCAAAGATCTACAAAATGAAAATGCAGAGAGGACAGCACATTCCTCACCCTGTTTCCCTGTGAACATCCAGTGGTACCAGGGGAGATACTGGTGCAACATAAAAAGAAATTATCAAGAAAAGATATTGCACAGTTTAAATCCACTGCTATTCTGTGTCTTGCCATTTGTCTGGGTGCCACTGGGCATGCCATGTTCTCTCCCACATGGATTACTTGACCCCATCAGCTCTGTGGTGCAAACCCCACACATCAACGATAACCCTGGCAGCTACAAAGAGCTCTGCTCACACATCATAACAAGTGATATCAAAGCAGCACAGAGATGAACACCTCCCAGTGCTTATCTGGGTGGCTATTACAGCTAAACTGATCCATGTCATCTCCTAAGAACAACCTGTCTGGCCTCTGTCCTGTACTGAAATTTCCTGTGCTGACACACTGTTTTGACAACCAGCAAATCCATAGCAATAATTTTTTTTCTTGATTTTGTACCATGTCTTCTAACAACAGGATCTTTGTTCGTGATCTGAAGGACTCCGAACTCTAAATAATGCATAACTGCAAAGCCCTTGTGAATTAAAGTGCAACATATGAAGACAGAACATAAAAGGAGAGGGAAATGCAACATCCACTCCAAAAATAACCTAGCTCTATTATTCAAAGCATCACCTAAAGCTATGAACAAAGAGCTATGGAAAAGGAGATTCCAGCTTTTCATTTCACAGTGCTTACACATTTCAAAGCACCAACGGGATCTACCAGTTTATCTGCAGTCACAGCAACTTTTCTTTCATTCCCTTAAAATCCAACACCAAAAAACCCCAATCAGAAATCCCACTGTGTTCCCAAATATGAACTGGCATTACATTCAACTCACAGCTGAGGACCCTGCCTCTCTCTCCAAATTCCTCACAGAACAAGACGAAAACTCTTCAGGTGGGAATAAACCTCTCTCACAAAAAGTAAAATTAAACTTTGGCCACAGCAGCTGTCAAGAAATCATGATCACACGGAAGACATGGCAGCAGGGAGCCCACAGGTAGAAGGCAGAGCAAAGGCCACCAGAACACCTGCAGCCACACAAAGCTGGGATTACCTTTGCAATGGCTTTGGAGAGCAGCTGCCATGATGAGACCTCAGAGCTGGCCCTGAGCATGAGCACCAGCACGGCACAACCACCTCAGCCAGAACAAATGAGAGGCAGAAACTCCTTCACAGGGGAGACACCAATCCTCCAGCAAATTGGCCATGCCAAGACTACACAGTCGCCTCCCCACTACCGACACAGCCCTTGCTGCTGTTTTTGCCAAAAATCCTCCTTTATCCTCCCTCCAAAGCACAAGCACTCAGGCTCTCTGCAGTTAGGGAAGTGTGTGGGGCTGAGGAGCACAGATTCCCTCTGTATTAAGACGACAACTGCAAGTGCAAATACTGATGTTTCACAGCTTTTCACTGTGGCAAGAATATATAACTGCCCGATGACTGTAAGCAGAGCTCGCTATTCGGAGCCAAGTCTGGGCAGAATTACAGTCTGCCTCTGCTTCCAGCCTCGCCCCTCTTTCAAATGGGGGAAAAAACCCACCCCAACCACCAAGGAACAATTAACACACTAACAGCCTCATTTTCACTAAAACTTGAAAGATGTTCCTCTGCATCAAAAAATATTCAGTTGAAAAGCATGGAAAATAGCATAAAAAATGTTGACTTTTTCCCTCCACTGAAATTCCGTTTAAAAACTGCATTGAAATAGAAAAATTAGCCAGCTCTAACCAGCCGGAGGGAGAGACTGCTTTTACAATGCAGCACTCACTCCACAGATGAGAGAGGGATGAGAGGCATTAACAAAGAGCATCCAGACCATGCACTTTTCACTGACAACTACAAAATCCAGGTTTACTTTTCCTTAGCATGACAACTTAGATGAAACACACGAAAGCCATAGTGTGTGTCTTATTGACTCTGTAGTATTTCCAAAGCAGGGAATTCACTCTGGAACTTCTTTTGAGATCAGAAACACACAAGGAAAACATGTCTGTACAAATTTTGCTTCCACAGACTAAAAGCGGAACCCATCATCAGAGAGTGTCCTATGTACAGATATGGACTTCAAAAATCTCTGAGCTGAGCAGCACTATAAAATTGAGCAGTCACAAAGTCCCACTTGAAATGCTGATGAAAATAGCAGCAGGCAGCATGGAACCTGGAGAGTGCTCGAGCAGGGAGTCTCTTAGAGATGGCTGATCTCCTTTCACAGAATGCTAATCCCAGGGCAACATGATTCCAGGGGAACCAACTGGCTGCCACAAACTACTACCACAACATAAATGCTGTGTAGGAATTCTATCTTAGTGCCTATTTGCAAATACTGTCTCTATGCCCACGGACCTGGACCACTTCTCTCAGAGATCCTGAGAGTTAATACTCTAGAATAGGTAAAAGGGCTCCAGATTGACATCATGCAAGCTCCCTACCTCAAAGCCTTCAAGATCAAAACCTACCCCCAGGATTTTAACACAAAACCCCTGCAAAAGCTTACACCTCCAACAAGCACAGGAAGCATAAAGGAAAAATTTCAACAAGGATTAAATTGCCAGAAGCAGAAAGCAGGGAAAGCGTTCCCAAAGAACAACAGCGAAAGGCCAATGCTGCTTGGTGGAAACCCCACTGAGGTTTCTCTGAACCACTCTGCCTATGCACGGGAAAAACCTACTTTCTAATAATCTAAAATATACCCCATGTCCCATACAGGGGTGGGAGAGTCAGAACTTCTGATATAAGAGTAAATATTGGAGGGACTCTACGGCCTTGACTCCTAGCTCTTCTAATTCGCCATCCGTCCCCTGGTACCCTCCTGAGAAAAATGGTTTCTTCCTGCTTATGAGAAACAATTGGTTTTTTTTTTTATATTCATCACAAAATATGATTATTCGTTTTCCATTATTGCTAGAGGCATTCAGAGGCTACATAGCTTTTTCAATACAGCATTCCACACTACCATAGCTTTAAAAGAAAAAATGTACCCATTGGAAGAGACACTTTTCTGCTTTCTGCTTTTGCCTTTTCTGGTAATTATGAATGGCATGTTTGCAATTTTCCAGATTTGAGAAATATGAAATTATTTTACAGTCATCCTTCTTTTGTCCTTTTATTTTAATACTTAAATTTCCATTTTGGGGAGGAGGGGCACTGCCATTGCTCTGAATCAGTTCAATGTGTCTCAAATCACTGTACTTGAGCTTTGCTTCACTCGTTTCCAAGCCAAAATACTTAACTAAAGACCAGAAAATTTATGTCCCCCTGTATTACAAATAATGGTGTGCTATGTACACTACACAGGTTTCGGTTCAGAATAAATACAAAGCTAAAATCTGGGATGGAAAAATAGAATAACACAATTCTCTGCATAGCTGAGATTTTATCACTGGGCAGTTTGCGACTGCAAGTGCACGGACGGACCACACAGTACCCACAGATAGTCCCTCTGCACACACAGAGTACAAAAACCAGCTCGCTGCTGGAAAAACAACATTTTATCCATTTCCATCTGCTTCACTTTCAAAGCCCTTACAACAGACTCAGGATTCAGGGAAAACAAGTCCCACTTGAGAGGAATCACAAATACACAGATGCTGGGGAAACTAATGGAACTTCATGTGCTAGCCTTAACTCAAATGGACACTGCCAAATAAGACTCCGTAACTGCAATTCTGGAAAGAAGCAATATAAAACCTCTTTTGTACTTTCCTAAGAAAAGCACTGCTAACTTAAGAGGCATGAATACCTCCATATTTCTTTTAACGAAGAACAAAATAAAATAATGAAAATTATTGCACAAATGCAATATTATCCTTGCCATCACATTTGTTTGGTCAGCCACGCTCCTGTATTCCTGTCTCTGATCACTGCATTTGCAAACACAAATAAGGGGAAAAAATCTCAGACTATTATTAGCAAAATACCTGGCTCAATGTCACAGAGTTGCAACCATACTGAAAGATGAGTTTGGTATCTTTGTGCTCTATGCCAGGTACATTTTCTTTCACTCCTTTCCTTGAAGGAGAAAGTATCCTGGTTAACAAATTGGGTTATGCTGAACAATGGAATCCACATCCTGTCTCAAAACTTTCCTCTAACATCTTAAAACTCTACCACTTGGAACTTGATGCTTCTTCTGAAAGGATGCCAACATTTGTCATTTATTACAGGGGTTTGTAAAATCAAAGACTTCACCCTGACTAAAAACAATCCTCATTTTTTAATTATTTCTTAAGGTGTCAAGTAAAACTATTTTAGGGATTGTTGGAATGATACTGGCTTACATCTGTCATGTTTCAACAGTTTTGAAGAGAAAAGGAAATATTAACATAACACATTTTGTCACATTAGATAATGTCATAACTAAACAATTTAGAACTTGCAAACAGAACACTCATACTGCATACGTCTTCGCCAGCTTTTCCAGAAGTAATGAGCCTCAGCTGTGAAAGGGTCTTGCTTCATAAGGTATGCAATAAATCATCATCGGAGCAAACCCAGCTCCCATGTTGTTCGTTTTTGACTGCAATTATTAACACCTCACGGGATTTCACACAAATGTCTAGGTTAAGAAAATACTTAAGTGTATTTTTATTCATGTGAAGTTATTACACACCAGTAATGTTTCTCCTAGCCACTTGTGGATTTAAGCGTCCTTTTCGATCGGAGGAGAAGCTGTGAGTAACGCGCTCGGTGGGAAATACTGAGAGCAATTCCGCCCCTTTGTATTAGGCAATTTAGCCTTGTAAAGTCTTACTTTGCAGAAGGAGTTCTCTATTTGAGGGGGGAGTAAAACAGCAGGCTCTAATAAGCAGTTAATTATCAGAGCAGAAAGTAAGAAGCTTTTAGACGTGGACAGTAAAGTTCCAAAACAACTCTGAAAAGTCAAGCCTATTTCTGGCACCCTGAAGCTGTACGTCAGAGCCTCTCAGGGTTGAGCAATGTGCCTACACATAATGTCACCGAAGAAAGAGCAAGTACTCACATGCCCTTGATCATCCAGCTCGTTATTGGTAAGCTTCAGTTTGTCGAAGCTGATCACTTGTCTCATCCACGTCTCCCCTGAGGCGGGTGAATCAGGGTGAATATAAACGCGAGGCGGCACCGGGGAGTCAGCGTTACCAGCCACCATCCACTTGGAACTATGATAAACATACCTGTGAAAAGAAAACAAATTCCTTTAACTGCAAGCACCAAAACAAGCTATTAGACCCACTCAGCATTAAAAAATTAGGGCCCATGCTTACAGCAAAAACCCATCAATTAACAAAACATGAAAGGACACAATTTCACATAAATAAAAAGAAATTTTGTTTGTTTGTTTCAAAACATAGTCCTGGCACCTGCAAAAAGAAGGTTAAAAATCCATGCTCTGACCTGACCTTACTCTTCCTAAAATCAGTCACAGTCTCAACACTAGGTTTCAAAATGAGCTTTAAGCTGGTGTCAGTTCATTGACTGCTACAGCTCCGCTCTGAAAAGGCATCAGCAAATAGGGAAGAATCTGGTCCTTCTTTTATCAAATTGAGTAGTAATTCCATATTTGGAAGATTTATCATGTTGAGTCTAAGACTATAAATAAAGATATTGAAGGGAAAGAACATTATGATTGAGAAAAACAATGAAAGTATGTGAAACTATGTTCTTGATATTTCAGTAGACCATATTAATAGGCTTGAACAGTATTGCAAAAAGGTTAAAAAATGAAAACATGGAGTATGTATTTCATTTGATATGCCAATGCTGACAAGATGATTTTATAACAAAAATTATGCCTGCTTTGGTTAAAAACCTATTTTGAAGGCAGGCAATTCACAAAGCAGTTTAAAAAGCATCAATTGAAAGTTATATTTTTCAAGTACAGCAAAAATCCAGTAATTTAGCTGTATTTTTAAATGAAAGCAAGAAAGACTTCATCAAATCATATCTTTGCACAATTTAGTTCCTTATTAGAAAAAGACAAGCAACACAGTCAGAACGGAAAACAAAATGATCCAATGCAGGTATCGCTCCATACAATTCAGATCAAGCTGCATAGCTAAGATCTAGAATGGTGGTGAAATTCTCTCCTGGAGACAAATTCTCCACCCCAGATCACTGTTGTAACATTTTTCATTTATTTTCTATTTCTTGGTTTATACTAAATATATGCTTTTCCTAGAAAAGTAAATAAAGTTATAAATGCACATAAATATAAATACAGTGATAAATACACATTTTGAGCTACAGCTTAAGCTTCCAAATATTTATAAGGTCAAATTTTGCTAGAAATCCAGACCTATATGTAATTTTCTTCACTTCCATTAGTTTTGCTATCTGCTCTGTCAGCTAAAGACTAGGTTCCATGTGACTGCCGTCATTTCCACGAAATTTAAAGATCTGCAAGACCTTTAAAGTCTGTGAAAAGTGTGTGAAGCTGCACAAACAGCCAGATTTGAAATAACAGACAGCAATAAAAAGCACAGAACAGATTGAGAAGAGGCACCAAGTAAAACATGTAAAACATTAACATTTAGTGGAAAGCTTAAAGGCATAGTCACTAATACATGAATACAAAAAAATTCTAGATTGCCAACTAAGAAAATACCACCCTTCCTACAACTCTCATTAAGTCACTTCAGTTGTCTGGGCACCATGTAGCACAGTGTGAAGACAGTGCAGGTCAGTATGACTGTAATTATTTTAAATGAAATGAGGTTTAAACAATTCATACTCAGTATAACCACTTTTAATTTTTAGGATTAACATTTTAATTAATTTGGAATTATTGCCTTGGTTTTTCTATGAATTTATGAATTGTTCAGACCTTCTAGGAATTATATGTTTAGATTGTTAAGTAAATGCACACATGCAACACGGCACAAAAAAAAAAAAAAAACTTCCATTTGAACTGCACTGCACTGGTACAAGGAAAAAGAAGCATTTTTTTGTGGTAGATACAGGAAATACTCCCCTGACTGTATATGCTGAGCATTGTCAGCCCTGCTATCGGTGTCCCTTGTTGAAAAACTCAAAATCAAAAATGGTCCTAAGAAAGGTCTTATACACCATACATGAAAATGACAAAATAGCAGTCAATGAGGTAAGTACAGGAAAAACACAGGGCAGCATTTGCTTAGGAAACAAGGCAGCATTCCTGCAGAACCAACCTTTTAATCATGGTCTGAAATATTCCTAGTTCTAGAATTAAATCTGCAGCGGTTTTCCCTACATTATACTAAGTATAGGTTAAAACAATCAAACCCGCAATTGGTAAAGACCTGATCCTGTCTCCTCTCAGCTACTCTGGCCAGGCTTCCCCCCTGGCTGCTCTGGAGCATGGGATTGCATCTGTAAAGCAAGACCTTGGAAACGGCTTCAACTCACAACAGGAACTGCTGCGGGCCCAATCTTGCAAATATTTCTACAGGACAAGTGGCTTCTGCAGAGCCCAGCCAGCTCCCTCAAAACACAACCACCCTCAAAACACAATCACCCTCGAAACAGTGAGAGATTCAGCACAAAATTTCTACTCCTAAGTGTTCAAAGAACCACCTCTTTTTCTTCTCACATGATTCTCCAGACAATAATGCCATTAATTCTTTAAATAACAGTAATAAGAAACATTACCTTATTTTAGTTTAAGCAACCAAATATCTCAGTGATAAACAGTTTTAAAATTAAATTCTATAAGCAATTTGAAAGGTGACTTACTTATGAAGTCACATTACATAGCTTGTAAGTATTTAAATCAGATATCCGTGCTGTTAATGTTATCAATTAATATTAATACCATTTGGCCCTTAAAAATGTACATTTTCATATTTATTTGTTAATAGGAAATAATTCCTACTGACAGGAGGAGGAATAAAATATGATAACATTTCCTGACCACACTAGAACTGCACTCTGAAAGCCAGACCTGAGCATCTGCCCGCAGGACATACACAGTGTGAGGCAAATGTATCCTAAAGAGCTTCAACACAAATTTTAGTTGCCTCTGCATACTTGGTACAATATGGTCTTCTGAAATACACTGGGATGAAAATAAGGACCTTCAAGGAGAGTTAAACATGATCTTCTGCTAATTTATGTTGTGTTAATATTTCCTTCCAACAGCCAAGCACCCTATAGCTTACATCATATGTTTTTTGCCTCAAAGTCACCATACCTGTATCTTTTGTTATCCACTGGCACAATATCCATAGCAATGTAATACTGCTGATGTGGGTCTAAACCTGAGATCTTCACTCTCATTGCAGGAAACATCCGCCTGAGCATTGGAAAGAGAGAGGTCATTTTTAATACGAAACAGACTCGGGAATGGTTGTTTAGGAAAAGTAACCGCTTCGTGGGATTTTTCTCGTTCTTCCTTTTAGCCTACAGAGTCCTTTTGGACGATTATAGTTACATAGCCATGAAATGGCCCATTCGATATGTCAAAACAGATTTCTAAAGTGCATTTACTCGAACAATGCTTTGTATGTTTGGGGATCCGCTTTGGGAGTACAGCTATTACCACATCATTTCAACTTTATTGTTAGACAGTAAATCATTTGGGTTTGAGACTTTACTTTAGCAGTACACACATTTAAAACCCATTTGAGATATTAGTAAGAAATGTATTCCTGGAGATGTGCAAACACCACCTCCACCCAGGAAGTCCAAGACTTACAGAAAGGCAAATTGCCACTGAAGTTTCAAGTGACAGCAGAAAAATGGTGTATCATTGCTGTAGCAGCGAATTAGAAAGCTGAATCTACTGTGATACAATTATAACACTGCAAGGATGCAGTTATAAAAGCCAATGTGCCATGCTCTAACCCAACAATATGGTCTTTATTGACACGGGACTTCCTGTCTGCAACTTACTAAAGGTGAAGTGCGAGAGCTACTCTGTCTTTGAAAGGTATAGTAAAACTTCTTTATTGAAAGCAGAAACGAATCTAAGAGCAAATTTCTGGAAAAAAAAAATAAAACAGAAACGACGAAAAACCAAACGTTCAAGATTTAGATCCTTCTGTGGAAAACTGGAGTAATTAACCAATGAGGTGGTCTGAACATAAAACTGCCCTTAGCTCTTAGCTTGGCATGCTTTTTATCAGAAAACTTCATTCTTGAAGCACAAAAAAAAAAAAAAAAAAAAAAAAAAAGGAAAGGAAAGAAAAAGTCCTAACTGCAAGCTAATAAAATACTTTTCTGCATTTTATAAACCTGAAAGTTATTCCAGTTTACTCAGTATTTGCTGCTGTGCTAAAAAAGATATATATTAAAAACCAATCTATTAAAAGTAGTTACTGGAAACAAAAATCCTATCTCCGCCATTTCTGAATAAGCAGGAGGGTAAAAACCTGACTATGGCTAACTAGTTTTTGCTGTTATTTCAGTGCACCTGTAAGATAAAACAGAAATTCCCCGACTGGACTCTCTTAAGACAAATGCATCTTTGTGCTGTTTAAGGCTGCGTTTCAATCATTAATAAAGCCTCTCTGAAAATGCAGACGGTAGCATATGGATTCAATAAAATATGTTTTTGTAATTTCTAATAAGTTCAAATACTTTTCTACTTCCCAGGTTTTTACCATGTGTATCCCCTGGAAAGGGGAAAAGCTTCCCCCCAGAAGGGCACGGCGCTCCCAGACCTCGCCCTAATGAACAGGAAACCCGAAACGCCACATGCTCCCGTGCCCATCTAACATTATCGCCATCTACCTGCCTCGTAAATCTGGAGGGTTCCCCCGCTTTTGTCCCGCTTTGATGTGCCCGCCCGCCCCGGGAGCGCGCGGGTGGCGGCTCCGCCGTGCCCGTTACCTTCCCGCCTTGGTGATGATCATCTCGGTGCCGATCTCGTGGAAGCGCTTCCAGAGCTCGGCGCCCTGCAGATCCACCCGCGGCGCCTGCGGCGTGGGCAGCGGCGAGCCGGGCCGCGAGCCCTTGGGGGATCCGCCGGGGGAGGCGGGCGGGGAGCCCGCCAGGAAGCCCTCCTCGCAGCCGCCTGCGGAGAGAGCGGAGGGAGCGATAGCGGCGGGGCAGAGACGGCTTGCCCCGACCCGGCCCGGGCCGCAGGCTTGGCTCCGGGGAGCGGGCAACCCGAGCGCCGGGACCGCGGCAGCACGGCCGGGCTGCCGGGGACGGGCTGCCCCCATCGCCGCGCCGTGCCCGGGCTGAGGCGGGCGGCAGCCCGTCCGGGCTGCGAGGACGGCGGCGCATTTCGTTTGACCACGGGCTTCTGCCCTGGAGCGTGAAACTGCCCTCCCCTCCACACACAGCAAATTACACACATACATACATATGTAGGTGTTGGTGTGTGTCTATGTGTATATATATATATATATATATATATATATATATATGCACACAGAATTATATACATAGCTGCATATGCACTTTCAGCAGCACACATACACATATGTGTCATATAAGCGCTTTTGCCTTTCCTCGGGAACAGGGCTCGGGACAGCCCCCCGCCGTCGCTCCACCGCGCCGCGGCACCGACAGCCCCGCCGGCAGCCGCCCTGCCCCGTGCCAGCGTCCGAGGGGCTCCGCGGATCCTCACCGCCAGGCCAGCGGGAAGGGTGGTGGGTGCCCACGCAGCGTGGAAAGACAGCAGGGATAACGGGGAATCAAAGCGCCGGTGGCGGCGGGGAATGGGGATCCCGAGCCCAGCCGAGGAGCGGGGCCGGGAGCAGTGGCGGGGCGCGGGCGGCACTCACCGGCGGGGGCGCGGGCGGCGCAGCCCAGGTCCATGTCGCCGCAGGTCCTGCCGGCAGCGGTGGCGGGAGAGCTCTTGGCGCAGCAGCCGCTGCTGCCTTCGTCCTCCGCCGCCTCGTCCTCGCCGCCCAGCTTCCTCCGCTTGGGCTGCCGCGGCGGCGGCGGCTGCTGCTGGTGCTGCTGCTTCTCGGCCCCGATGAGAGCCTCCACGGAGAAGGCGTGAGCCTTGAGGCTCATGGTGGTGCCTGGCGAGGACCGTCGCTTGTCGGCCATGCCCGCCGCCCTACAGCCCGCGCATCCAGGCGCCCCGCGGCCGCCGGCACCGGCACCCGCGCCCGGCCCGCCGCGCCGGCCGCCCTCCCGTCCTCCCGACCGCGCAGGCAAGGGGCTGGGGCTTTTCCTCGCCTTTCTTTTTAAATCCGAGTTATCAGCCAAGTTTTTTTTTTTTTTTTGGTGGGGGTGGGGATTGTTTTGGGGTTTTTTTAAGTGGAAAAAAAAATCTATTCCTTTCTGCAGATGCGTTCCTTCTCTCCCCCTCCTCCTCCTCCTCCTCCTCCAAGTTCTGCCCCGTCTGATGGGCCAGGCAGAGCTGACATGGGTAACAAACGCTCTGCGGACACAAATTAGGGCTTGTAATTGAAATTTGTTGCCTTGATCTGTCAGCACTTCCAGGCAGGAGACCTGTGGGAAGAACTCGCTCATTAGTGTCACTGCGGCGGCGGGGGCCGGGCGGAGCCGCGGGGCGGGGGCGGCGCGGCTCGGCCGCCCGCAGCCCAATCAGCGCCGCCCCGGCCCCGCCGCCCTTCCAGGGGGCCCCGCCGCCGAGCCGGGGGGAGCGCCCGCCAGGCCCAAAGAGCCCCGCGCCCCCGGCCCGCGGCAGATGCACCCGCAGTGAACGCTATAGGGACACCCCCGCCCCCAGCCGTACCTCCCCCCGAAACGCAGAGGGAAGGAGGGGTGGGTCCCCTGGAGAGCAGCGTTTCAGCCGGGAAAACCGTTCGGACGCTAAAAAAAATGACGTTGTGCCCTGTTTTGCTGTAAGGAATTAGGAATTATTGCTGTTACTGTTGCTCTTGGAGATTCATCTCGTTGTTATTCGAGCTCTGGCTGCAGTGAGGTTCCAGCGTAGCATCCACAACGTCCGCTAAACCCAACCCATTAGCGCTGAGGCTGCAATAAAACGAGAATTAAACCGAACCTTGTAGGAACATCGTTGCATCCAGCCACAGCAACTTTAGTAATAATCATATTCAGGTGCATAAAATAGTCACAGGGAAAATCCTCTTTCGTATCTTTCCAGTGAGTAAAAACTACTAAAGTTTTGGAACCAGATATTATTTTCTTTGCATATCCAGGAAAATGAAAAAGTTAGTGAGATTTTTTTGGGAATTTTTTTTTTTTTTTTTTTTTTTTTTTTTTTTTTTTTTTTTTTTTTTTTTTTAATCCTTAGAACGAAATGGAGTGATGTGCTCCCTTAAAAGAAACAGAATAGAAACCCTCCAGCTGACAATTGCATTCCAAACTAAAAAAAAAAAAAAAAAAAAAAAACCCCCCAGGTTAAAAAAAAAAAAAAAAAAAAAAAAAAAAAAAAAAAAAAAAATCAATGGGGAAAATTTCACTGTTTAGGGGACTAGGATCTCAAACTCATTCTGTTTTAGGCAACGGAGAGAAGGAAATTCGTGATGTGATTCGCCTGTGTCACAGTCTTGGAGGTCCTGTTCGGGCCGTCGAGTGGCACAGCTGAGATTTCTGATCGTAATCTGAAACGGAAATAGCTGCCATTTAGGAGACGTAACCGTTTCCACTATCGCATTTTACCTACCCGTAAAATGCAAATTTATCGCTAATTTCAATAGCTGTTTCGTCAGAGACTGTGAGGAATGGGCTGATTAATAAATATACCCTAGAGATAAATTATCCCTTCGAATAAGGTTATCAGCGTTAAAATTGTAAAAGTACTTTCCAGACGTGAAAAATTAGGTATGTGACAAAAAGATAATTAATTAAAGAAAAAAATAAAACAGAAACGAAACCGCCGTAGGAGCACTAACTCTTTCCACATTGGAAGAGATGGCAACTTGTCTGAGAAAAATTCGTCACTACGAAAAAAATTGCCCTGCAGTTCCTGCCGCTCTGAATTGATAGGAGAGCAGAAAATGCTTAATGCCTGTCACCGACGAACAGTGCTGTGGAGTTAGTTTATCTTTACATTAAATCTGGGACATATTAACTGTTCCGTGGTCTAAAGTCAGTCTGCTCTGCCTTTCCAGCCGTGATTGAATCTGAAGGAAATCAGATGTGCGAGAGTGATCGAAACGCGCTAAGATAGAGGATCTTGCAGGAGTTTAAGCGCCGTCGCGGTGGAGATGAGATCTCTAGAGGAGAGGAAGGAAGGAAGGAAGGAAATGGATGCTATCTGTCCGAGGGCGCTCCCGCTGCCTCCTCTCCCGCCCGCCCATCTCCGACGGTACCTTCCGCCGCCCCGCTCCGCGCTCCCGCCGCCCGCGGCCGCCGGGCCACACACGCCACCGCCACCGGTGCGACGGCCCCGGCGAGGCCCGCGGCAGCAGGTACCGACCTCCGCCGCCGCGGCCCGGGAGGGGCGCGGAGGAGCGCGGGAGGAGGAGGAGGGCGAGCTCGGTGGCTGCGCGGCCCGGGTGCGAGCGACGGGGGCCGCGGGGGCTTTAGGGCGAGGCTGAGCTACTGCGGAAACTCGGCGCGGGCGCGGAGTGCGGGGCCGGCCCCGAGCTGCCGCCGGGACCTGCCGGCCTAGGGGCGAGCTGCTCCGCTCCTCCGCCGGGCTCTCCGCGGCGCAGCGCCGGCTGCAGCGCGCAGGCAGGGATGGGGACGAAGCGGCGGTGGTGCCGCGGAGGTCCCGTAGAAGCCTCTGGGCACGGGGTTGTTGATCCTGCCCGTTTTTTTATTCTTTTCCCTCCCTCTAGAGCCAGCCGCCGCGCGTTCCCGCCGAGGAGACCCTGACCCCTTGCTCCGCACCGCTCCGCACCCCTCCGCGCCGCACAGCGGGGTGCGCGCAGCCTGCCCGCTCTACGGCGGATGGACAGATCGCCCGGATCGTTTTTATTTTTAGAGGAATGCCCCTTGTTGTTGATTTTTTTTTTACTCCCCCCTAGATTTCTGTAGGTTGCTATGTGGCATGTTGTTTCCATTTCTTGACTTTTTGAAATAACTATTTGGATTTAAATTTATCGAACAACCTGTTATCCATATGTCTGCCCGATTAATTTTTTATGGGATGATGAAAGAGAGAAGAATCTATATATATAGTGATCTGCTAATGGAATAATATATATATATCCAAAACACCTTTCTGGGGTTACTTTTATTTCCGGACTTTAAAATGCAGTCTGAGTTTTTAGGCTATTGGTGAGGCAATGCTTATTTGATGTAGGAGAGTCACATATTTAGACTTCATTGGAAAAAATGTATTGTTTTCTACCAGAAAGATATTCTCCTGTCCTCTCCTCAAAATCTTGAGGGGCAGTTACAGGAAGGTTATGGCCACGTTCTGCCATTCACAGTGGGATTTTTGCAAATCTTTTCGAACATTGAAGCCGGACACAACCAGAAAGTAAAATATCCACAGGGTCCTTTTCCCTTCAAAGACATGATTTTCTGTAAGTACCCAGCAGGGATCCATAGAAGCGGTCACTGAGGAAAACAGATTTATATCATTAGCCTCTTCTTCCCTCCGCCCCCCAAGTGTGCCTAATCGCTTCACCCTAAGGAGACGTGGCGTGTAAAACTGACAGCAAGGAGCTGACGGCGGCTAGTTAGTCAAACATTATCAACCCCAGAAAAAGTTATAGGCGCAAGTTAGAAAGTAGCCTGTAAACCCTTTTTCTGTACATCCCAAGTGCACCTTCACCCTCGTCCCTCTCCCTTGCCCTTGCTTGGGGCTAAGCGTGTGTTCGAGGACCAATTAGCACTTCCAGCTCTTCTATAGTGGGGTGAACAGCAAGCCTAGAGCGACTGTCCCAGCGATACAGATGACCCTCAAAAGGGTTGAGAGAAGGTTAAGAATGGCTTAAATTTAAAAGAGGCAGGAGCCCCCACGTCCCTCTCCACCGGGGATCCTCCGGCCGGGCTGCTTTCCCCGCTGCCAGGTGGGCTGCAGCCCGAAGAAAGAGGTGGCACTAGGGAGCCGGCAGGAACAGTCGTCCGGAGCTGCGGCGGGGCTCTTTATTTGTTTCCGATGAGAACGGCCCGGCCCCTGCTCCCACTTGTGTGTGTCACCTTCCTCGGGCGCAAAACGAGTGCTGCTCACAGCGCGGGGCGCAGGCGATCCCGGCTGATCCCACTCCGGGCCCAGGCTCGCGGTGCCCCGGCGGCCGTGAGCAACCCACTGATATTCGTGCCGGGGTCTGTCCCGAGCACACCGCCTCGCACGCCCGCCCGACGGGCTTTAGCTTTGCGGCCGAGCCTGAACGAGAGGGAGCCGGGTCGGTTTCCCGACACTTGAGACTCCCCGGGTTCAAACTACATAACTCGACTAACGGGTCCCAAAACGAGCGGATGACGAGGCCGCTCTCTATCCAGCCTCCAGGACCACAGAGCATGCAGCATCCCGTTCGGTGCTCCTAGCTCAGGAGCCGAGAAAAGGGAACAAGGCTGGGGAAGAGAGGGGAAGCCCCCCGCGCTTTCATCGCGCACAGAGCTCTTTGTCCCCTGGAGTGACCCAGCTTTAGCCCGAACCGCGGGGAGCCTCGTTGCGGTTGTCGCCGGTCGCGCCGAAGCCAAGCCCAACCTGCCAGGAGCGTGGCCACGGCGGCCCTCAAACAGCCGCCGCGAGTGGGGTTAGGGGAGGGCTCATAGATACGGCTTGGCAAGTTTTGTTCCCGCTTCAGCACCGCGAGACGGCCGCGCACCGAAGGAGGCGAACGGGTCCGGGCCAGCCCGCCGTAGCCGCCGACGGGGCGCGCGGTCCGCCGGCCGGGGCGGGTCATCCCCCGAGCGGTGGGCATCGGCCTTTCCCCGGCACGGCCATCCTCACCGGGCGCTATCCCCCGCAGCCTCAGGTCTCGTTTCAAAACTTGGGGGGGAAAAATAGTCGCTCCCCTGCTGCTGTGTATAAATAAGACCAGCGTACGGAAATAAACGCTCAGCCAACCGACCGGCTTTCCGGACGGATGAAAATGCTGAGGAACGACATTAAAGCATTGAAAACACAGTTTAAAGGCATCCGTGTTAAAATTATAAGCATTCTGGTGATTGCGTTTTATAGCGCTTCTATTGCTGTCTTAATTCCTAATTGCACAGCCACGAGTATGAATAGTTTTGAAGGAAATCTCCAGCCTTTAATACGCCGCTCCCATTTATATTTATTGCTCGTTTCAGACAAACGATTTTAAAAAATAGCCTTTTCATTACTTCAGTCACAAAATAAGCATTTACAAACGCTAAATGAGGGTTGAAGAAACCTCTGGCTTTACATTTTTATTGCTTTCTTATAAATTCAACTCATATTTTCATTATTGTCTCAGGAAAAAAAATGAAAACGTGCATGGAATAAAATTAAATCAGGTAGCTTTAAATCACTGTAGTTTGGGATAGAGTCACTAATTGGAAATATTTATGTTTGCGAAGCTGGGATTTCAGCAGTAAAAAGATACGGTATATCCCCTTTTTATCATAATGTGGGTCTACGAGAACATTTATATCATACCACTGTAAGAAATGATGTGTAGTTAAACAACATTTTTTAAGCAGGGTTTGTGTCTTTTTATGGCAACCCTCGATCTTTAGTCAGGGCTAGTTCTCATGTTACATGAAATGTACTTTAAGAAGTACTACCTGCTCCAGCTGTCCAGGAAAAACTGAATTATGGAACTAGGAAACATATGGCAGTTGCATATTGCACGAGTAAGGTACATATGAAAGTTATAAATTTCTTTTTTAAGTAACCATTGTAAACGCATTTTTATAGGTTTCACAGTATGTATTACATCTGTAATTTTAATTTTTGCAATATACCTTTTTAAAGATATCTATGTTTTCTGTACTATGGGGGAGGAAATGCAAAGCGACGTTTACACGTTAAAAAGAAAAATGCTGCATGCAAAACAAACAAGACAGGTAAATAAACGGGGAAGCGGAGCTTCCTCACACTGGAAAGGACACTATGCCATCTATTGGCAAAGCAGTTATTTACAAAGCCAAGGGTACCCTAGCGAGTATTTTCTGTTCTTTCAATGTTGTGGAATGTCCTAGTTGTAGCTTTCGTGTATTGTAAAAAATAAATTAAGACATGTCTACGGAGGCCAAGGGAATTAAAAAAAAAATTAAAAATGAGAAGAAGGAAAAAAAAAGGAAGAAAGCAAGACAGTTCGTGAATTTATACCTCACAAATTAGGTCATTAACTCACAAGGGATTTTGCAGCTAATTGAGAACTCCCTTCTTGGAGCGCCCGAGTAGGAGAGATTTAACTTTTTCGATTGTTTTATTACTGAACCGTCTCAAAGAAGGCGCTTTTTTTGTTTGTTTGTTTGTTTTTTTCTTGTCTTGTTTTTCCCCCTGTGTTTTCAATGCAAGGTTACCTAAGGACTTTATGGCCCCGAAACCGCCCGGCAGGCTCTTCGGAAGCTGACCTTAGGGTCTCTGCTCAGTCCGGGCGCTATGCGGGTGTGACTGCAGGATCGGGCCTCCTTTTCCGCCCCTCGCAGGGCTCCCCGAAAGGCGAGCCTGACCTGCGAGGGGCTCTAAGGCTCTGCCGGGCACGGGCGGGAGCAGCGGCAGGGCAGGAGGTGCGCGGAGCAGCCCCCGCCCTGAGGATCCCGCGGGCAGCGCTTGTGCTCCGCGACGGAAAAGCTTATCCCGTAGGAGAGAGCTGCTAGTGCTTTTCCTGTTTCCAGGAAGGCGAGGGAGAAGATATTTTCTCCATCAGATATAAATAAACCGAAATAATCGGACAGATGTGAAGGGAAGAGTCAATTTTTCCTGTTCCAAGCGTAGACCAATTTCTGAACGAAAGTCCCTGTCTCTCCGTCTTGAACTGGCTTTATTCCTTTTTCCCTCACTTGCTAAAGACTCGACTTTTTCCCTGCCATGACTAGCCCACTACTGCTCGGTGGGAAACGCGAGAGCCCTTTGTTTTTACTTTCAACGTTGTGATCTCTCTTTCCCTGAGCCGCAGAACCCAGTTTGGCCCTTCTCTCCTAGATGTGTGAGTCGGGGGGCGGGCGGGGAGAGAGAAATTCCTGGAAGCACCTGTATTTCTCAGCTCGAAAGGTTAATCTTTCTCCACACAGCAAAAGAAAAAAAAAATCCCTAAAATAAAAAAAAAAAAAAAAAAAAAAAAAAAAAACCCAAAAAAAAAAAAAAAAAAAAAAAAAAAAAAAAAAAAACCAAAAAAACACAATCCCCTCCGTCTAAATCCAGACCCCAGAGGACATGGAAATATAAAATCCAGACCCTGCACTCATATCCTTTTACTGCTCTTCTCGGTGTGAACGTGTGAGTAGATGGTGTTTTACAAAGTTGTCTGAATTTCATGAAAGGCCGTTCCTGTGTTTATATGCGAGGGGAATTGCACTGTCTCGCTGACTGAAGCGCACCTTCGCCGATTGCTCTTTACCCGAGCAGTGGGACTCGGCGCTGGGAGCCCGAAGGCTTCGCCTCGCAGCCTCACGCCCGGATTTTCGGATCAGCCCCGCGCGTCTCTGGCTGCCGAGGGAGCGCAGACACGCTCATTCTGGGGGCAGCACTCGCTTTCTGCCTTTTTTCCCCCTCCCTTGCAAACGTCTCCGAAGCCCAGGCGAGCCTCGGGCTGGCGGCGGCCCACGTCTGGGGACGGTGATGGGATGGGGGCACCACGCACTCCGGGACCCTCCGGGACCCGCCGCCGGTCCCCGCAGTCCCGTGTCCGTACTGGGACACCACCACCGTCCGCAGTCTCCCTCCCTCCGTTCCTCCTGCTCGCTTTTTGGGGTCAGTCTGCCTGGGAACGGGGCCGGCGCTCCCCGGGGCGCGGCCGGGATGGGGACACCAAAGAAGCGGCGAGCGAGAGCGTTTTTGGGGAGCCGGCGGAGAAAGATGCAGGCGGGTAGGCTGTAGAGTTAGAAAGGCATCTATGAAGGAAAAAACTGAGCTCCATATGGGCAGCGATTTTTGAAGAAGGCATCAAACACGCTTCTCTGCCGTGCAGCCCACGCACGCCGGCTCCCCACGCCGCGCCGCCCGCTGCAGCGAGGTGCCGGCCGAGCCCCTGTGCATGGCCCGATTCAGCCTGTCACCTGAATGAAGGGAT